GGGCGAGGTCAGCGTGCGCGCACGGCCGGGGCGGCCGGGGCACCCCACCCTGCGGGCTCAGCGCCACCCCAGCCCCTGCCTCGGCCTCCCCTCCAGGGGCAGGCCCAGTGCTTACCTGTCGGGTTTGCTGCTCCCAGGTGCAGACACAGGTGAGGAGGGAAAAGAAGACAGGTGAGCCTGTGCTGGCCATCCGGGGCCTGCTCGGTGACGGCAGGTGGCCTCAACCTCGCTGAGCCTTGGCCGTGGCCAGAAAATGGGGCCAACCCTCCCTGCTGGGTCCGCCCCCGCCTTCTAAGCTGGGACACGTCCCAGGTGGCCTGCCGATGACTATCTTCATTAAACTGGACAGGGGCCGCCTCTGCCTCAAATCTTGCTGAGTCGTGTGGGGCTCGCGAGCAGTCGGATTGCTGGCGGGGTCCGAACCCCAGGCCGTGGGACTTCGATCAAGCGGCTTAACCTCTGACCTTCGGCTTCCCTATCCGTCCCAGCGAGGGCCACTGTGAGGACCTGAGACGACCCTTCCTCAGGCCGCCCCGAGCCCCCCTCTTTCCAGGTCTCCCTCCCTCGGGCAGGGCGGGGACTCACTTCTTGTAGAGCAAGATGGCGATGACGATGCAGATGATGAAGACCACGGCCAGCACGGGCCCGATCACCCAGATGAGGCCCTCCTCGCCGTCCACGATGGGCTGGGGGTCGGGGTTGTCCAGCTGGAAGGGGTCTGAGAAGGGGCTGGCTGCAAACGTCTGCAGAGCGGGGCAGAGAGCAAGGACCTCCCTCAGGGTCCGTCCCCCTCGCGGTGGCTCCAACAGAAGCCTCTGTGCCCCCGGCCCCGCTCCCCCTCCTCCGGCCCCGCGAGCCGACCCCACGTCCAAGTCCGGGACCGCCTCGTCTTTGCTGAATTCCTAGACGTGCGTCAAAGCCCCAGTTCCAAAGCTCCTTCCCCTAAACGCCTTCCTCCTGGGAGTCCCCTGACTTCCAGTGCAGGGAGCTGGGGTGGGGTCGTGTCTGGATCTGAAGTCCAGGCCCCGGGGGCTGAGGCCGCCCTGGGGTCCGCCTCCCTGGGAGGGGGGTGGTGCCGGACACGGGCAGACACCCGGGGAGACTCACGGGCTCACTCTTCTGAAGCGCGGCGAGCACGAAGAGGACGTAGCGGTGGCCGGGCTCCAGGCCTCTGTTGTCGAAGCCTCCGTACTGCTTCTGGTCGCCAGGCTGGAAGGTGGACGGCAGCACGGAGAAGCGCGCCGCGATGTAGGGCCGGGGCGCCTCGAGCTGGC